TCAAGGGAACACAGAGCTTGGGGAATCCACGGATTCTGTATGTAGTAAGTAAGTTTAATTTTTGTCCTAGAGGGAAAGATGGCATCGTCCCTCTAGATGGCTTCAAACACAGACTTGAGAAATGGCCTGAATAGAGTGCTATCGGAGCTTACAGGTCTTATTTTAACCAGCAAGAACACACAGAGTTATCCACAGCCACAGGAGCTCACTTTCTTAGTATTGCTGAGCAAAACACACAAGTAGTAAGTGATTTACATTTTTCCAAGAAAGATCAAAGACTGATTATATGTTAATCCCTCTTTATCTCATCTGTAAAATAAAGAGGATAGACTAATAATTGCTAAGGTTTTCTTCAGTGAAAAACTGAGGTTTTCTAATTTAACTCTTTCACTGGGAGTCAGTGTGGATCACAGATGTTGGAAGTGTCTGAAATTTTAAGCCATCAAGACTGAAGCTATCCAGTAGAACTTTCTGTGGTGATAAACATGTCTTATTGCTCTGCTGATCCTATATAGTAGTCCCTAGCCATATCTGGTTTTCAAACACTTGAAATGTGGCTAATGAATGTGAGGGACAGAATTTTTTAATTTATTTAATTCACATGGATTTGAACCACATGTGACTAGTGTCTTCCATATTATAAAATGTCAAAAGTTGTCAATCTACTGAAGCATTTCTTTTAGTTCAACCAACTGGCACCCTACTATGATGTCAAGACACTGTCAGTTTGGCATGAGAGTGGACTAGGAAGGCAGCCCTCCTTCAAATATTCTTTCTACCTCCTCAAGTGCTAATGTTTCAAATTCTAGAACAGATTAGGGATCCATTGCTTTGATACAATGTCTTTCCTTCCCCTAAGAGTGTTCTTAGAAATGAAACCAGGTATTTGTACAAAAGTAAATTTACTCGAGAGTAGGCTTTAGCTGTGTGCTAGTGACTAATGCCTATAATCCTAGCTATTCAGGAAGCAAAAATAAGGAGGATTAAGTTTAGAGGCCAGCCCAGGAAACTAGTTCATGAGATCCTATCTCAAAAATGCCCAACACAGAAAAAGACTGGTGGAATGGCAAGTGGTAGAGTGCCTGCCTAGCAAGCCTGAGACCCTGAGGTCAAATCCCAGAATGCAAAATTAATTAATTGATTAATAAAACAGTAGGCTTTGATGGAAGAATCAGAAGGTATCCAGGTGCAGGACCACTGGGGTGAAGAAAGCATGGGGCAGGAAGTCCAGATAGGCCCAAATTTTTAAATTAGAGCTAATCAGCTAAAAAAATGCAAAATTGAAGGGTTTTGAACAATGTCAAAGAATGAGGGAAGAAGTGCTATGTACATGTCGTTACAGTGAGACATGATTTTTGCTAAATATTCTAAATATTTTTTCTGTTGAGAAACACTTGCTATCAGTGCTGGTTTAAAGTTGTGAATACAGGTTGGGCACAGTGGTTCAAGACTATAGACACAACTACCTGGGAGGCAGAGATAAGGGGATCGTGGTTTGAGACCAGCACCAGAGAATGAGGGGGAAGGGAGCTCACCACTGTCATCTCAGCTATGCAGGGAAGCCACAAATAGGAGACTCATGGGTCAGGATGACCCATGGTCTCAAAAATAACCACCATAAAAATAACCACTGGTGAAGTGGCTCAAGTGGTAGCACAACTGACAAAGCAAGCAGAGGCCCTGAGTTCAAAGTCCAGTATATCAGTTGTGATTGATTGATTACCTGGTGTAGAGTACTCAATTTAATTTCTTTCTTTCAGATTTCCCCTATTTTAAAAAGCATATCTTGTAATAGTTTTCAATTTAAGTCATTTATTGAGGGATGGGAAAGCTCCATTTTGTCTCATCACCTCCAAATTAAATCATTGTTTAATGTTAACATTCAACAATTGTAGGAAAAAGAAATCTCCCTCAAAATTGTGACAGTTCTCTACGCATTTAATATAAAATCATTTTGTATAGCATCATGTCAAAGAGAAAAGAGTCTGACACTTGGCACAAAGGCAAAGCAGCCTGTATTTAGGATTGCCTCAATGGGTGCAGGAGTTACTGGAGTAGAGTTTTGTAGTAGAAGAGAGACAGCCAAGTTAATACAACAAGGAAAAGTGAGATTTATAGCCAAGGAGGTGGTGGGGAGTGGTCAGTAGACAGAAAATTACTAAGAGGACAGGTCATTCTTACTTCCTGACCTGACTGGAGTCTTGGCAAAGATAGGTCAGGCTAATCAGATGCCACATTAGAGATGGCAATTAGATATTGAGAATGGAGGATTCTGAGTAAGCCTTGACAGGAGTTTTGCTAAATTGAGCAAGGCAAAGACCAAAGGTTGGAGCTAGCTGAACCGAGAGCCCAAGAATGCTGACTACAGTGTGATCAAGGGGTGAAAATTTGCCAATGAAATCAATTATTTTTTTAGAAAAAAATAATTTTATGAAGATTCTTAAAATAGAAGGAGCAAAATAGAAAAAAGTACATAAATGTAAGGGGAAGTGGTCATTCTGGTGAGGAACTAAATGTACTTGAATAAAATCAAAGGGGGGTGAGGGTGGGGATTGAGGGAAGAAAGAATTAAACAGTTGCCACCCCTCACCTGTCAGGAAGAGTAATTAGGAGGTTAGAAGGTGAGGTGACACATAATGGCTCATCTTACCAACGTAAGTGGGTAAGAGATAGACAAATGGTCTTGCTGGGAAAAAAGCGTCATGTCTTCATGTAATGGTGTAAAAGATTGGTTTTGTTTGTGGGTTTAGAAATGTGAACTTTCAAACAAAAGGGAAATGGAGAATGAGAAGAAAACTGAATGAACCACCAAAACAAAGGAAAAAGATGAAATACCATGTCAAATAAATAGTGTAAGATAGAAAGAACAGTCAGATATAGATATTTTTATGCTAAATGTGAATAAACTAACCTATTAGGTTTAAAAATAGTTAAACACACCTACAATGGTGAAAAAGAGGAGGTGTGCCAAGAAGTAGCAAGGAACAGCTAATACAAGTAAGAATGCAATACAGCCAAGCACCAGTGGCTCATGCCTGTAATCCTAGCTACTTGGAAGGCTGAGATTGGGAGAACTGAGGTTCAAGGTGGGCAAAATGTTCATGGAACCTCATCTCCAAAATAACCAGAGCAAAATGGACAGGAGGTGTGGATAAAACAGTAGAGCTCCTGCTTTGCAAGTGAGAAGCCCTAAACTTAAATTCCAGTCCCCTGGCCGCCCCCCCCAAAACGCAATATTACTATCAGAGAAAACACAATTCAAGATTAGAACAACCGAGTAAACTCAGAAGGAGCATTATCTGGTGAGAAAGGGTACAATTTATTTAGAGAATATAAAAGTCATTAATACTTCAGAAAAGTAGCAGTTGAATAAAGTAAGCAAAAACAACTAAAAAGAACTTCCAGAGCTCCACTCTCACCTTCACAAGTCACTTTGAAATAGAAATAAGGACCCTCTTATGGACAAGAGATGTCAGGTAATCACACCTTTACCTCATAAACCTGTTACCCACTAAGAGTGTCCTTCTTTCTTCCTCCTCCCTTGTCACAACATATGGAATGTGCCTGTGCCTGTTTCCTGATCACAGAAGACAAAAACCCATCAGGTCTGGTGTAATGTCAGGAAGTCTCCCAGGACAAACTGGCCACAGCTCTTTATCTCACATGGGAAAATCTTCTTCAGCTATGAGCAAGACAGGTGTTTTTTTGTTTTGTTTGTTTTTTGTTTTTTTTCCCCCTGGTAGTACTGGGGTTTGAAGGCAGGGCCTTATGGTTGCTAGGCAGGCGCTCTACCACTTAAGTCAGAGATTTCTTTAAAAAAAAGATCCTGATGACTAGCAATAGTTGCCAGACCCCAACAACTGGGCCAGACATCCTGAATCTCCGGACATCCATGTTGCCCCATTTCCTCCATCCTCTGCATTTTCCTTTCAATTAAAACTGCCTGAGAGTTTTATTTCACTGATGACTGGGATGAGACCAAAGTCCCCTATGTCTGATATGATATCAACTTTATTGTAAATCCTTGGTGTATTGACTGAGTCTAATTAAAAATCAACTCTTAGATTTACCAATTCTACTGGCTTTTTTTTTCAGAGGTACTGGGGTTTGAACTCAGGGCTTCACACTTGCTAGGCAGGTGCTCTACCACTTGAGCCACTCCACCAGCCCTTTTTTTATATTGGGTATTTTTGAGATAGGGTCTCTTGAACTATTTGCCTGGGCTGGCTTTGAACCTTGATCCTTCTGATGTCTGTCCCCTAAGTAGTAAGGATTGTAGGCATGAGCTACCAGCACACAACTGATTTGGCTTTTAGAGTATTTATATTATAATAAACAATTTTATTAGAGAAACTCTAATTGAGTTCAGGATTGTCATTTTATCATTTTTTTTTTGGTGTACAGGGTATTGAATTCAGGGATTTATGCTTGCGAGACAGCCTATCTACCTGTTGAGCCATGCCTCCAGCCCAGGACTGCCTTTTGTTTGTTTTTTGGTGGTTTGAACAGGGTCTCAGGCTAGCTAGGCAGGGGCTCTACCACTTAAGCCACTCCCTCCACTGACTGAGTCCCATTAAAAGTGTCTTTTAATGATTTTTCTAATTAAATGAATTAAGATCAATCATTTTGTGGTACTAGGTTTTGAACTCAGAGCCTTCACCTTGAGCCACTCCACCAACCCTTTTTTGTTGGATAGGGTCTCTTGAACTATTTGCTGAGGGCTGGCTTCTAGCCAAGTTCCTCCTGATCTCTGCTATGAGTAGCTATGATTACAGGCATTAGCCAGTCACCAGCTAAGACTAATTTCTTTAGGCACCCCACTGTACTGTTGTTGATGGAGTCAGCGTTTTGCATTTGAAAGCACTAGGGTCTCTGCTTCCCTAGCTTGGAAAGGGGGACACAACAGGACTGGAGGGACCATGGGTTGATCCCAGGTCCCTGTCCCTGCACCCTAAGACCTGTCCCCTTCCTTCTTGTGCCTGCAGAGCCTGGAAAGGGAAATGGACCAAGACATGAGACTTCTGGCTGCATGTGGCCTCACCAGCTGCCTGTTCTCCATGTGCCTAGGGTGCGCGGCCGTGCTTTGCCTGGGCAGACCCATCCTTGTCACCCTCCATGACCACCTGGTCCCCGTGGTCCACTGTGCCACAGGGACACTGCCCTGCCCCGCCCCGCGGGAAGTGGCGCCCAGGCTCCGGCCTAGGAGCAGGTGCATGGACACCGCCCACCAGACCCCACATGCCCTGGCCACCCGTGTCCTCATGCTCACCAGTCCTGTTCTACCTTCTGTTGCCCTCCCTTTTTCTGCTCTAGGTCACCTGGGGCCATCGGACTGGGAACAGCCCTTCCTAAATGCAGACAGAAATGACTCTGGGGTCATCATAGGTAACAGGACCCAGATTGGTCTAGTCCTTGGCATTGATGTCCCTTGGTAATGATTTATGCAAGGGAACAATGTGCCCAAAGTCAACACTCCAGCGTGAGGTGAAAAGCATGGATGTACTATGTATGATTCCTGTAATCTCAGTTTCTCTAGTATGGGAATTCCCACTGAAACATAGTATCAAAACAACAGCTACAAAGTAACAAAAGCTCTTCATTTGCAAAGTGGCTGTCTTCCTTAGGCTGTCCAGGCCATTGCTTTGTAAAGGCATCACACCACATAATCACTTGATTATGCTCAGAGCAATGCAAAACTCTGTGAACTTTATGACACTTTTATCAGTGGCAAATCGTATTGCGTAGATGCGTCCTGTGACAATATTTCATTTAAAAGATTTTAAGTGCATAACTTTTAAATGCACGAGTCTGTGTCATTATGTGCATACAAGGTTGAACAGCAATACCCACTATATACTTCACTTTAAATTTTTACCCTTCAAAATGGCAGAAAACCATTCATTATAAAATTCTCCTAAATTTTTGAGTGTATTTAACATTCTACCACCAGCTCAGTTGTTTTTCTCTTTTAATCAGTAAAATACAAAATAAAAATATATGAGCCAATGATGAATGGAACCTTTTAAACTTCTCTGTGGGAATATGGTCAATACTTTTTTGTTAAATTTTAAGCCAAATCTAATGCTTAATAAATTCTGATTTTTTTTTATTACAATGCAGTTTCAATGTGCTCATGTTTTCAGAATAGCTTCCAAGTCCTGCAAGTGTTTGCACAATGTCAGAGTGACTGCCTGGCCTTCCTGTCTTTGGAATTTCGTTGCTTTTGGTCAAGTGTCACTGGCAAGACTTTTGAAATGCAAAGGTTTTTGCTGTTAAACAGTAGGTCCCAGAAGCATTCTACAACCCTGAGCCAGTCTCATCTGATCCCTCAAGGAGGTGAGGGGAATGAATCCTGCGTGGAAGGCAGAAAGGGTGGGTTTCCTTCCCTAGCAGTCACCTGCCAGGGATACAAATTCAAGAATTTCCTATGTGGACAGTGAAAGCTGTCCTTATACATATTCATCAGCTTTTGCATAGATTTGACTTTTCATTCTTGGCTAATCTAACTGCTGTAATAGTTCTGTGGCCTGGCCTTGTGCCTCAGCCTTGTGTCTGTGAACTAAAACCTAAAACTCTGAGACCCTGGCAGCCATGCCTCCCTCTCCGATGTCCTGATCTACTAGTTTAGAGTGTAGCGAAGTTGAGGGTCAGTATTTTAAACATTTATACCTGGCTCTTTCAAATAATCCATGTTTGACATAAAACAAACTTCATAAATACCCTTGTAATTTTTTGATAATAAGGTTTGATTACACATGTTATACTGTGCATTTTGAAAGTATATTATTATAAAAGTATTTAAAATGATTTCATTAAAATGTACCCATCTAATTATATTAACAGTAAGTACTGGATACTTTTAAAATAATATAAAGCTTTCCACCTGTTAACTGTCTTAGAGAATTGTGTAGGTTTGTACTTAAAGGGGACAGGACTTTTGCACAGATGTGAAAGACAAAGTCCAACTCTAGTGGCTTTCCTTATTTGGGTGCTTATCTGTGGTCCCTTTATTGTTCCCTGCTGGCATTTGGAACACAAGAAGTGCTAGAAGCTCACCTGCATTTCCATATTCCTGGAATCCAGACCCAAGTGACCTACCAAAAAATTGTGCTTTTGCTTTCCGTCTGGTAGTGGAGACAATGCAATGGAGGTTGGGAATATTATTATTTGGAAGTATTGCTTTTTCTAATTGACTGTTTTAATCATTTTGATAAATTTTAATGTTGAAATCAATACTGAATGTGATAAAATTTTTAATACTGAATTCTGTAATGGAACAGAACAGTGGTAGAAAACAAAGTGCAGAAAGGATGTCAGCTATGAGAGGCCACCTACTTTCCTTTCTGAATTGTAATTATGGTTTTTGTAAGTTGTGATTATGTTTTTAACCAAATTTACAATGAGATATAAACACTACTTCATGTACTGAGTTATCCTTTATTTATAGCAATAATATTTCAGCAAAAATATAATCCTCAACTTATTTACCACAAATATTGAGATGATGTCAATTTTTCTTTATTATTCTGTATCTTTTTCTAAATGCTGTTACTGCCATGCTTTTTAATTTACTAAGAAAATCACCTTAAACTGAAGAAATGCAATTCCCTTTTCAAATTTTGGATTGCTTAGGTGTAAATATTATACGTTATTCTCTAATTGCTCTTTGAATATAAACTGATGGCTACTCACTCGGAGGAAAGACAGCTTTTATGTGATCAATATTATATCTGCCATTCTAATCAGGGGTTTATTATCGCAGGGCCAAATTCTCACAGATTATCCCAAATTTAATAGGTGCTATTAACTGGAACATATCTCATTAAGGTTTATGGATGCAGGAAGATGGCAGAAAAGTAGAATTAACCCTAGGGAGAAGTTCCAGGAAGAATGAGGCAGTAGTTATTTGGTAATTGCATGGAACAGCCATTGGTTTAAATAAACCACTCACATAAGAACAATGATGCAATGCTCTCCAGAACCCAGATACCACTTGTCTGCCAAGGACTAATTAGGTTGCACAGAGTATCCATACCAGGGCAAACTGGAAATGTACCAATTGAACACTGCTATTATATAATTCACTTGTCAACTTATTTGTGTTACCTTTGAAAGAATGCACAGTAAGCCTGTTTCTTAAATCTGCCCCTAGCGAGTGATCTCAGAAGTATTCTCAGAACACTTCATCTGGATGATGTCTAAGTGGAAGGTGAAGGATTTTTACTTCTGCATTGCTCTCTTAATACAGTAGTACATAATGGACACACCTTCACGGATAATGGATGATTTGAGTTTCTCTTTTTTTCACAAAAGACCTGTTTAGGATGGGGCAGGATTCAACACTGTATAGTCAACGTAGGCATTATGTAATCACTAAAACTTAGAGACTTATTGTATTCCATAGAAGATTTTGTAGCTGGAATTTTCTAGAAAAGACTAAATAGCACAGTCCATTGCTCTGCGTGTCTTGTAAGAGAAGCTGAAAAATGAAACTGGATTGAACATCACCACCATCAGTTTGTGTTGACATTTATATTTTATCTTTTTATTTGAAAATCAATTCTGCTTTGGAATACAGCAAGAAAATTATTTTAAAGAAAGTTTGTATGAAATTTAACTTATGAAATTTGTGTGTTTTTCCTAGTTTATAAAAAATGTATAGATAAATGCATTCTGTACTGGTTTGTGCATTTATTTATATTTTGAGATTATTATGCTGTTTCTCTTTTTATGATCTGGTATCATCTGGTAAAATTTTCTTTCTAACTTATTAAAGAAAAAATGAAAAAAGATAAATATTTACTAATTGCTAGAAGTAAAAACATGGATGAACGTATATAATTAAACTTTGGCCTTAGGGCAAGCATTTAATTTAAAAGTCTATTGAATCTTCTTTGATGTGGCAGAGATGATTCTCTGGATCATAGACACTGGTTGCAAGTAGCATCCTTCTATGATATACAACTAGAATTATAATGACTTGTCAAATAAAAAAAGAAAGTATTCTTCATTTGAGAAGGCTGAGATTTTTGACTCTTAAGAACTACAAAATTCTAATATTGAAAATAGAGTGTTTAATACAACACTGAAGGCTTATCACTGACATAGGTGAATGGTATCATGATATTATGGTTTACATTCACCTCAGGAAGTCATTCTAGTACTCATCACTGAAGCATAAACTTGACCTATTATGATTGCGTTAACATTAACGCATGACCTGCTCCAGCCATGTCTCCGTTACTATGAAGAGTCACAGGAAAGTCAAATTATTTCCCTTAAAGATCCTCATAGTAATGGAGATGGGGTAGAATAGGCCAGGTATGTGAGGTTTTTTGGTTTTTTTTTTTTAACCTGCTCTCTCAGTTTTTTGATGAGGAACGAAAACAAAGATAGGAGACTTATTTCTCCAAGGGACAATAGTTATAAGTTGTCCTGCTTGGACTAAACTCCTGGCAGTTTTCAGTCCACTATGATTGTCACGGCCTCTTTACTACCCAGTGTTATTTATCAGAGCAGAAGAATGTGCCAGATCTCTTGATAGCCAGCCTCACCCGGCCAGTAGTTTGGGGTCTTTGTTCACATCTTTTATGAAAAACATTTGATGGAAAATTGACTTTAATAGCTCCTTAATAAAATACTACTTCATCATGTAGACCTGGAAGGCAAGCAGATGCACCTTTTGTTTAGGTTATTCTGGAATCTACCATGTAACTGACACAAGTGGATGATTAAATGTTCTTGAAATTGGAGAAGGATCAAATGGACACTTTTTTCTACCTTTAAAATTATTTTAATATTTTCTCTTCAGTTTTACATGGTCATGTTAGGGATCTGACATTTCAGTTACAGCTTGGTGCTTTATTAAGGAGAACATAATGTTGATCCAGGGACAGGCCATTTTGAACTGAAAGTAAGGAGCTTTTTACCATGGGAAGCATGGTAATCCTAGCTGCCTTCCTTCCATCCATGCTGTTCTAAAAGCTGCATGTCCTTTGACTTATGACATCTCAGCACCATGATGAGAGAAGCATTGTATCAACTCCTACTGTGTTTTTATTATTACTGTTCTTGTTATATTGTTATACTCGTTATATCGACACATTGTACTTGAATATATTTATGGGGTACATAGTGATGTTGTAATTTTGTAATATAATGTGGAAGGAAATTCTGTCATTCACCACATGGATGGAATTTAGAGAACATTATGCTAAGTGAAAAAAGTGAACACAAGCACTGCAAATTCTCACTTAATTGTGGAACAGTCAAGCTCACGAACAGAGAAAAGAGTGGTGGCCAGAAGCTGGGGTGGGAGGAATGAAGGGGGGTGATGAACAGTACAAAGTCTCTGTCAGATAGGAGGAAGAAAGGTGACATGCTCT